AGTTGTATTCGGAAAGAATAAACCAGTTTTATTAAGTAAAGAACTTGTGTCGCTAAAGTTTTGTCGGAACGAAGTTACGGAAAGTTAATTAACAAACGGAGACGTAACAATATTTTACTGTTAAACACTGACATCTATAATTATCATATTTACATCAAGAGTTTCTTTTTTATTTTGTTCCCAGAAAAATACAGTGATAGTCCTTATTACGTCACAAAAGCGCCATTAAAAGGAAAAGGTACGTTAATATAAACGTTATTTTTGCATTTGACGTTAGAAACAGTTGTTTGTTTGTTTGTTTTAGAGCAAGCCACCGCAGGGAATCGAATACGTAAACTTATCACTGTCTCACCGAACACCAGCTTTGTCTTTCATGAGACAAATTACTTTAATATTTTGTAACGATTTTATATTCTCAACCAAAATAAATATAATTTTAAAGAAAATTCCTTTTGTTTTGAATTTAGCTTTATGTTTTGAAGTTTAATATTGTTGTTATTTTCGGGAAATGGTTTTGAATTTAGAGAATTAAAAACTATCTTGAAACGCAAGTAACCAAAACTATTTACGTTGCTTGTAATAATCTTATGAAACGTTAAATACTATATCTTACTTTCATATCTGGTAAAATAAAATATCCAGTAATTTCTAATGTAAAAAGTTTTACCTTACAAAGTTGAGTTTCGTTCAGATAATAAAATGTGAATGCAAGTAAATTATAATAAATTGACAGGATTTCATAAATGCTGATGAAATAAATAAATAAAACCTGGACAGAATAAATAAACTGAAATACACAAATTTTCCGGCTGCTAAATGATTTTCATCGAAATTGGAATGATGCTTTATAAATGTAATTACTTCGAACCTGATACAATATGTTTTATTTTTACATGTAATCACCTCGGACCATGGGCGGAGGGGTGGGGGGCAAAATAGTGCGACATTGTGAATTGAATAAAAAATTCATATACATATGTTGAATGAATAAAGAAATACTTATGTTTCTCATTCCCCAGGTGGGGCGCCTTTCGCGGATGCCCATGCTTCGGACCTTACACACCACATTTCCCTTTTACACGTGAATACCTTAAACACAGAGCACTATAGTATAGTATATTTCCCTTTTACGTTCTGAAAACATTTTGCACTTACCTCAGTGTGTTTGTTTTGTACTAAATGTAATTATAAATAAATCGCATTCTTCAGCTTTATAAGAAGCAAACTGTCCAAGAATTGTGGGTTTCTCTTTGTTGCGTTTGTGCTATTAATTTCTAACTTATATATATGTATATATATTAAGTTTCAAGTTGTGTTATTTTTAATGGTACTGAAATTTACGTAAAAGTTTTGAAAACTTTTACATAACCAGAGATTAGTTTATTTTTTGCTTTTTTTCGTAAACAGTGTTTTAATGCGCATTATAATATTGATGATAGTTTTCTTTCTACACAGATGTGTTCGAGTTACTTAAGATATTTATTTGTTTTTACAGAAAGTGATGACGGCACGCCTCCATCATCTTTATTATTGAGAACAGAGCAAAAGGTTAAAGGTGAGACATAGTAAGAATTGTACATTATGTTTCAACAACATAAAAGGAGCCCCCCCCCAATTATATAGTTTTGTGCTTAACAACAAACTAGCAAACAAACATAGAAGGAGAGGGAGTGATCTAATTCCTACTTCAAGTCTTACTGCAGTCAATAAAGTCTCGAGGACAACGGCCCGGCATGGCCAGGTGGTTAGTGCGCTCGACTCGCAATCTGTGGGTCGCGGGTTCGAATCTACACGAGGGTTATCTGCGCTAGCCGTCTCTAATTTAGCAGTGTAAGAAAAGAGGGAAGGCAGCTAGTCATCACCACTCACCGCCAACTCTTGAGCTACTCTTTTACCAACGAATAGTGGGATTGACCGTACATTATGATGCTCCCACAGCTGAAAGGGACGAACATGTTTGGTGGGATGGGGATTCGAACCTAAAACCTGCAGGTTGCGAGTCAAGCGCCCTAACCACCTGGCCATGCCAAGCCAAATAAGTCGTGGGCCCACAAGCAAGTTGTTCGATAAAGAATTAAGAATTATTTTTTTTAAAGAAGCTGATGAAGTCATGGATCCCCATCGGTAGTTCTGAGGGCAAAGACAACTTGTGAAGTACTAATAATTTTTTTTTTAATTCTGCAAACAAGTGTAATAACAAACAGTTATCTCAGTTAAAAATGGCAGTATCTGTTGATACACTTGTTGAAAATTCTTTAAAATAGAATAAACACGGTATACAGGTGCATGAACAGTATTTGATCCTAAAATGCAGAAAACGTACCGAGTTTATGGTTAATTGAAATCTTTCTCGCTGAAACATCAGGACTATAGTTAACGCTTTATCCACCGACCGACTAACAAATTGGAGATTTGATCTATAGTGTTAGCGGCCTGGCATGGCCATGTGGTTAGGGCGCTCGACACGCAATCTGTGGGGGCGCGCCACACCAAACATGCCCTTCAGCCGTGGGAGCGTTATAATGTAACCCTCGTGTAGCTTTGCGGGAAATCCATAACAAACAAACTGTAATGTTACCCTCGATTTCTGTTGTCAAACTGTACTGTACTTTCTACCGTGGTGCAGAATAAAAATATTTACTTGTTAATAGTTAACTATTAGAGAAAAAAAAACAATCAATTTTTATTTTACCGTTTCTAGGCAACAATGCTGATGATACTCCTCTAGTCTTGAGCTCCTTTACGACAGAAATAAGTAAGTCATTGATATATGTGAGACTTCTGACATTGTTGACAGTTTTCACATTATTTTATAATTTACTAACATATTCGATTTAAAATATTGTTATTAAATAATAAATGTTCACGTGTCTGACATTGTTGACAGTTTTCACATTATTTTATAATTTACTACCATATTCGATTTAAATTATTGTTATTAAATAATAAATGTTCACGTGTCTGACATTGTTGACAGTTTTCACATTATTTTATACTTTACTAACATATTCGATTTAAATTATTGTTATTAAATAATAAATGTTCACGTGTCTGACATTGTTGACAGTTTTCACATTATTTTATAATTTACTAACACATTTAATTTAAAATATTGTTATTAAATAATAATTGTTCACATGTCTTGTAACTCTGATTGTTCCTATTAGGTTTAATATTTATAAATAATTATATATATATACACCTGGAAAAAAGTTAAGCACCCCCAAGTATTTTTCAGGATTGCTTATTGAAAATAAGGTTTAATTTTCATGATGTTGAGCAATGTTCATAATTTCAAACATAATTAAAAGATGTGAGCGTTCAGGTGTGACATTTAAATCAGGCGCGTTTTTTCCCCACGTGCAACTTGCTCCCTTCTT